AGGGAGGCAAAATGTGATAGGGAAGAGGTAGCAAGCTAGGGAATAGCTCAGTTACCGACCTGCCTAAGTGGTCAGGGAAGACAATGTAATGCAGCCCTCCCTGGAGAGGGGGAAGGAGGTGCTTCTATGATTTTCTGGTGTGATATCGATTTCAGGAAAATAATATAAAGCCTGAAATTTTTAGTCTTTAGACTTCCCATAAATTTATTTTCATTTAAATGAATTTAACTTGCTTGGTTTTTTTACCATTTGTTGCGTCTGTAGAAGAATCATTCTGAAATAAAAGGCATCACAGACATGAGCATGAAATACTGTGGTTTAAATTATTTGATTATGGCCGAGCAGTCGAGAGCTATTTGTCTAAGGGAAGGTATGACTCCGTTAAGGACTTTCTAAGGGAAACTAACTCGTATACACGTTACACATGGGAAAAAACACGTTAATCCGTTCCCTGGGATTAGAACCCTGAACCGAATTATCAGTGTTTAGCGAGTTTACCGGTCAGCCGTTGGTGGGCCATGAAATACTATGGAATCGGGCTTATTTTACTTCAAACCTGAATGGTTAATTCGCTGAATATTAGTAGTTTGACTTGGATTCAAATTTCGAGGAAAGAGCTGCATAGAAGGTTTCATTGTTACCCCTTGTGTAACATGAATACGAACAGATTTCTCTAAAATTATGATGTTCTTAAAAGCTTGATAACTTATATAATAAAAGAGTTAAAAAGTGCTCCACGAAAGCATTCCTCCTCTTACACAGATAGCCCTCCAGCGTTTTGTCGTAATAAAATGAGTTTTATCCTAATAAACGGAATATCGCAATAAAACGGACAGCATGAATTTTCTGATTAAGAATGCATAAAATGAATATACTGGCCACAGACTAACTATATATAATATATATATATATATATATATATATATATATATTGTTATGCGTTTTACGTCGGCTGGAGTAATAATTTAAATTTTTTGCTGAGGGTTTATCATTTGCGCGAAAAATTCGATTAAGTGTCCGATGCATAATGAATAGTTTTTTTGACCTGTTTTAGTGTTCGGGATGTTCTTTTTTTCAGAATTAATCGTTTTGAGCTTTTGGGTTAAGAGACTAGCTGCGTTTCCTTTCCCTTGGTCGTTTAGAGGCAATTTAATAGGTTTACTTTAATATTATATTAGTAGAAGTTTCAAATGCTGCAAGAATTAACGATTTTGATTAAATTTATAGCATTATAAAATATTGCAATATTTGAAAAGGAAGACGGTCATTTTAATAAAAAACGAAAATAAAATAGTAATATTTTGATGACTTATATAAATATCCCCTGCTATCATTGAATTCTTAGACTTATTATGAACTAATTTTAGTTTAATAATAAGGAAAAGTTTTATGACTGTTTGATAATAAGATAAGTTTGAGAATAAGAAAAAGTTTGACATTAAGGAAAACTTTAACTATAAACAAATGTACGAGTGCAAGCAATTCAGGAATAAGCATTTTTCAGGATGTGAAATATACTGCAAAATTAGTTAACAGCAGTAAATTTTAAATCCAATAAAGATTTAATTTAAAAGGAGAAGTTAGAAAAACTCATTTACAAACCTAGACCTCATACTCAAATCAAAATTCCTTTGACGCAGAATTCACTTTGATACAGAATTAATTATTATATTTTACTAATAAAAGCTCTTTATTTCATTATAAGCTGTTTATATCAACTTCAATGAATAAAGCTTATATCTAGCTGTTCTGTTATTTAGTTATAATAAAACAGCTAAATATAAGTTTCATTTATTTATGTTGTCTTCAATGTTAACGCTATTTTTGATTATAAAAGGGAAATAAATATGTGAAAAATAAAACGAGGTAAATATTTAAAGATAATTCTATTATTTTGTTTCAATTCGCAACCTAGGATCCGGGAACTTATGAGTAAATTTCAGAAATAACTGGCCTGCATGGGGATACTAGTATTTAATATTTAAAGTCAGCTCTTAACTGCAGAAACAGTTGGATTATTCAATTATGGCAAAGCACACGTGGGCTATCTGCCTAAAGGGAGGGATGCCTTCGTGGAGAACTTTCTAAGGGAACATGGCTCGTATACACGTTACACATGGGGAAAACCACGAAAACGCCCATGCAGCCAGCCCGTTCGCGGCATTCGAACCTCGGACCGAAGTACCAGTGTTCAGCGTCTTTACCGCTCGGCCGCTGGTGGGCCCTGCAGAAACAGAAGCTACACACGTTTAATTATTTTTTGATGATATTTTATTCATAATCAATAGCGCATGAGCTCTATTATGCCTGAATTTCTGACAAATGTTAATTAGCAGTTAGCTGGCAGTCCTCAAAACGTTAAAATGAACTCATCCTCTGGAAAACTGATTCGCAGTGGACGCATCATTATGACCACTTAGCAATGGAATTCAGTCCGGGACCAGTTCTCAGCAAAAAGGCTTGCACATAGATGTTTTTAGGAATTTTCGGTACTTACGTGTTATCGCAACCACCTATCGTGAGAGTTGATGCCTAAACTTATTTTTAAAATATGCACTAATTTTAGTCAAGGAATAATTTGCCGAATGGGAACTAAAAGTTACAGCTATATCCATATGCTACTAAAATAATTTGTCGTCGTTCAAATCCCTTAGGAAGGGATACATATCACTAATCATTGTATTATTTAGTTTGTAAAATCGAGGCATTAATATTGAGTTTTATCTTTATGGGTTAGTTAGTTCTGACAGCATACAAGATAGTTAGTTCTGATAACTATGATTCATCCAAATATGATAAAGTTGGCTTGTGTTAAGTTCACACCTAGCTAAGCGAAGCCAAACAAACTTAGCCAAAACCTTGAAACTTGTATTGTAAGAATATAGCATCCAATACATGCAGCATACAAAATGTGCGTTAAATGAAATAAATGGTTTGCTATAGTTCTGTGTCAACAATAAGCTGATGGAAGTTGAGATTCGCACGAGTTAAGCTGCATGAGGAGTTTCGTTAAAGAGAATCTATAATTCCTGCATTATTCACGGATCAAATAATATTTCTAATTCATTTTGCTTTACAAATTAAGGGCGGAACTTAATGATTATGGTAAATTGTATCGAATCAGCCACAAATAAAACTTCTAAACACTTCTTATTACAATGCTTTGCATACAATGACTCCACCTACAATAGAAACTAATGAATCAAATGGCGCAAATTAAACTTCTCTTGGTTAAGATAGAGTAATGAATCACTTTCAGCAATAATGCTCAAAGTTGAGATTACAAACCAAAGTAACCCCAGAAGTCCCTGTTCAATTCTTAACATTAGCAAGATTGTAATCTCCTTATACCTAACTCAAAGTTCCGGAGAAAGTTTATCGGGTATTGTTTGCAGAAGTTATATTGGTCACGCAATAGCTGAAATTTAAATAAACTGAAGGTATAAAGTATTGCAGATTTGCATGTGTGTCTCTAAGGTCAGTGGTCGAAGAAATATATCGGTTGATGTGAATACCAAATCGCATAAGTTATTAAGAAGTTCCATGCCAAAAATATAATATAGAAGCAAGAGAATTAAGAGGATTACGTGACTTAATTTTAGCGATGTTTAGAATTGCATTGGGGCACTCCTTCTTTTCGGATGTGGTAAGATTGATTCGTATCATGTACCAAAAGTTGTACATGCAGAAAATAATATCACTCAAACAAAGTTTCTTAATTACGTAAAAGCACTTATCTTTTATTTTAATTTTATTACTTAATTTGAACCAAATGCGTGATTTAATAAACAAAGAAAAAGTAAAAGTTTATTCCATGAAAACTTTAGAAAAAGATTACTTTTCTCGTCTCGTGCTTCAAAACAAGCTAATGACTTTACATTACAAAATGGGATTTTGGGCTATGTGAATATCATAACATATTTCATACATAGATTTACATCTAAAGAAGTAATTTACACACAAGTTAAAAATTAAAATCTTTACATAACGTTAGAAAATCGTTAGATAAAATAATTGCATTGAATAGTTTTAAAGGAGAGTTACAGACCCGAATGTAAACACGCAATAGATGTAATCACATGCAAGCAAGTGCTTTTAAAGCAAGCAATGTTTCCCCTGTAAGTTTGGAAATTAAAAAAAAAATACCTTCAATACCTCGATGAGATAAGTTGCGTATGATATTGTCAATGCGAAAAGTGATTATGCTGAACATTTGAAGAAAACCTTACGCATCACAGGCCGAATATTTCAACCTCAGACAGTTTTTAATTCTTATTCACCCTCTTTTAACTATTTTTATGTTTATTATTTATTGCCATATCACTCTGTTTTCATATATTTTTCAAAATATCATATGATTCCAGCCAAAATTACGTCTTTGTACAGAATTATAAAGATGAGACGCTCAGATAGGCTAAAGAATAAACGCACAAAAGGTTATACGATATTTCTCCCGCCTTCTTAGTGTAGTGGTCCGCACGCTGGGCGCGTATTCCAGAGGTCCGTGGTTCGATTCCCGGCGAAGGTGTTGCTCATTTTTCATCACTCCTGCTTTCGAAATAACCTAATGTTGCCTCTACAGTGGCGCCCGAAAAGGGTGGTGGATGATGATTCTCCACATCCAGGATTTGAGGACTGGGTCTTTTAAACCCCAGTCTCCCGCCTTCTTAGCGTGCCTTCGTGATGTAGTGGTCTGCAGTCTGCACGTTCGGCGCATATTCCGGAGGTCCGTGGCTCGATTTCCGGCGAGGGCATTGCTCATTTTTCATCACTCCTGTTTTCAAAATACCTAAAGTCTCTACAAGGTTTCAGATTTGTATAACCAGCAGATGTTAGGGCGAAATGCAACAGATGAGGTACTAATCATTTTACTACTATTTCCAAGAAATATAAACTCCGATAATAGTTTGAACAAGCTTTTTAAGTTATCTCTGTAGCTAATTCCTGTAAATGCTCAGCTGACAATCATTTGCGCTTAAAGCATTTAAAAAATGAATTACTTTTGAGCGTCGGTCCGTCTTTCCTCCATGGCGGGTCCCCGTGTGCGGTGAACTCCTTGAGCTTGAGGAAACTGATGGTCAGACGAATGATGGAGGCTTTGTCCAGCTGTGTAGTGATGGCACCAGGCAATGGTAGCATTTTGGCCAACTCGTAGAACTCGTAATTCTCTTTCCCGCGTCTTGACCTGGCAGCATCTCGTGACTTCTCCTTCCGCATCTCCAGGATGCTGGAAAGTGGAAACAAGTATTATAATGCTGTTTATAAGAATTAAATAAATTCACACCGTATTTATTTTGGATAACACCAATAATAGTTGAATGCAAATATTTGTAAAATGAGAGGTCATTAATTTAGATAATAATATCAGCCCATTTTACACTCAAACATTTAAAGGACGATAATTTGGTATATCTCACTGTGCCATGTAATCGGACATAATATATTAGTAATTGTATATCGTGTTTCATGAAATTAAATGATCATGAAAATGAGTTAGCACATTTGTTTCTGCCCGAATCAGACTTTGCCTTTTTATCCAATTACATGTGAATTACGTAATGAGATTTCATTTTTAATGATTCATGATGAATTAAATAAGGAAATATGATTTATTACTAAATGAATTTTGATCTTCGAATTGCCATTTATGACCCAATAACTGAAAAATAAATTCATTTTATTATACGATTTAGGATTTAATTAGACAAAGCTTAAAATTACAGTCATTAATTATGGTAATTAATATTCTGACAAAACACTACACATGCACAGGGAATTAAGCTAAGGATCTAAAATGATATTGTTACGGATTTTGTATTTAGTTGGCTATTTTTAGTAGAAATGTAATTAGAATTGTTTTATTCCTCGTGCAATGCAACGCGTGACGAATTTTAAAAGAAAGCTACGCGGGAAAAGTAAAAATACAAGAGCACCTGCATTTAACATTTAAAAAATAACAGTTTATCTCCGTAATTGATATTTAATTTGAATAAATGTAATTGACTACATTGTTAACTGTAATCGTAACTCTACGCTCTTTTCATTCGTGAAATTTCGAGAACTCTCTCGTGCAGCCGATTTAAAAAGCTATAAAAGCCAGAGAGAAAACATCTCAGTTCAGTTGTTTACTTAGCTGCTGTAATTCTGAGATCGGATTAGCTTTCTCTGCGCTTTGAATTAAGTTCTATTTAACGTTTTAGTAGTTTAAAATATAACTACTCTGTGATATAGTGATATTCTACGAATATCTGTGAGGAAATCAATTATATATAATCAACACTTGAAACAATGCTTATCAGTTATATTATTCATTTGCCTGATGATAAATCCAATGACTGAAAATTATTGTATTCAGAATTTAAAAATGCCTGAAGGAGTTAAAGAACATCCGAAAAAATTGCTAATAATAAAATATTTCCTTCCCGTCTCCGTTTTAGAATGGGACGGTAATAATTTAGTATACATGGCATGAAAATCATCACATACCATTTACATAAGTTCCCGCAAGAAGATTATTTGTTGGATTTGTTAAGCAAATTGTAATCAGCTTTTTTTAGAATTAAAATAGTGAAATCAGAAATTGATTCAAAGTTATAATTTAAAGATCACTTTCCTGTCGTCTGTAAACCCAAAAACCTGTTAGGACAAACTTCGGGGAAAATTCCATACAAAACTTCGTATTGATAATGGGAATGTTACTACAGTATTTATAATCATAATAATTATAATATTAATAATCCAATTGTAAGTCCTTGCTTCGCAAGATCACGGGTATACTTTTCGGGAGTCATCGGTCGCAACTCTCAGAAATGCTGAAGTAAGCTTATAAGGTTTTTTCCCGCCTTCTTAGCATGCCTTTGTGGTGTAGTGGTCAACACGCTCGACGCGTATTCGAGAGGTCCGTGGTTCGAGTCCCGGCGAGAGCACCGCTCACTTTTCACGTCTCCTGCTCTCTAAAATACCTAATGACTCTACAAGCTGAAGTCCTTTAATGGGTCAATAATATATTTTGATTTGTTAGCGAATATGAGGTGGTTATATGTGATAGAATATATTTTAACAGTTCGTAAGTAGAGTGGGATATAATTATAGAAATGAAAATCTCTACATTTTAAATTTTGAAACAAATTCAGTTTAATCATGCTAAAATTTTGCATTCAGTATCAAAAGCAAGTTTTAAAGGCAGTTAAAATGTACAGTATTCAGGCCAAAATTTTATTTTCTTGCAATATAATTACATGATTTATAAAAAAATATCTATTTGTAGCTTATGCAAGGCATATTTGCGTAATCACCCTATTATGCATGTTAAATACAAGGAATTATCCCAATCCCCTTTGCTGCTCTCGTGGTATAACTGCTCAGGTAACAACAAAAAACTCGTGAGTCGAATTCTGGCGAGAGCACGAATGATTTTTTTTTCTCGATTCGATTTTTCCTTGAGTTAATATAATAGTATCGAAGCCAATTAAACATTTTTTTTGCAATTAATATTTTAAGAACTTTTACCTAATAGCTGTAATTGGTGATAATTTGCAGTTCACGTAAAAGACACTTTCTGAGCTTATAGTGATTTAGGCATTGAACAGAACTTAAACAATGGACTTTTCAGTTCTGATGGACTCCTGAGCTCTTACTCACTTACTCACTCGTAGGTCTCTTAGGTCTTAGTTACTGAGCAACCCGAAGGCTTGGATATTTCTTGCTTGAGAATAACATTAAAATGTTTGGCTTTTAATAGTGCGATTTTTTATGTTAGTGCTTTATTTCTGCACTTAAGCCGTCTAAAAAACCGATTCCCAAATCATTTATTTCAGTAAAAAAAGGTGAGCTTTTTATCACTTAATAGTGAACCCTCCTTGTAGGTAACTGAAAAAGCAACGAACGGAAAGAAGATTGTTATAATGTATGCCATTTGACTGTTCTGCGAATACTTAACAAACAAATTGGAGTCACTTTGATATGAGTGATATTCAAAGATAACCGGGAAAAACTTAGATACTTGCAAGATCTAACCTCCGGAGGATCCTACGAAAGGGGGGGGGGCTTGCGTTGTTCTATCGATTTCTATTTACCCGCAGAAATGCGTCCTTTCAAAAAAAGCTGACTTCTCTATTTTAAGAGGAAAACGTGTTCCGAATACTCAACAGTAAAAAAACGCTTCGTCTCTCTTTTTTTATTGTTGCTGTTATTTTTAGTATCTACTACAGCAAGTGCAGGCTTTTTCGCAAGAACATGGGAGTACCAAGAGCACAGAGGTTCAACTGCAAACACAAAAGTTACCATTTCATTGACGGGACAGTGGAATGTAAGAATGGAGATTTTCGTGGTTTTTGAAATATTCAATTCCCTTCCCCCCCTTTATGAAGTTGTTACCGACCTTTGTCCTTTTCCTCTGGGGAGGGCACAGTACAAAAAGGGGCTTTTTTTGAAGAAGGGGGATCTGAATGAGAAAAAAGTGCAAGGGAGATGGAAAGAAGAAATAGAATTTTAGGGTGCAGGCGGTGTGAGAGGATCATTGTAAATGTTATTCTAATTTTCATATTTTACTTTTGCTTTTTTATTCGTTTTTTATGACACAGGTTTTATACTGAACATTTTGTTTATTTTTCGATTACCTTGTAGAGACATTAAGTTATTCCGAAGCAGGAGAGATGAAAAATGAGCAATGCCCTCGCCGGGACCCGAACCACGGACCTCTAGAACACGCGTCGAGCGTGCTGACCACTACACCACAAAAGCATGTTAAGACGTTGGGAGAAATACCTGATAACCTGACGTAAACCGTGTCAAAGTACTTTGAAGGCCTTAAATGTCCGGAAGCCATGAGTAGGATACTCATCCCCTATGCCAAACTTTAAAGAAATATCCAGATTTAAATTAAAAACACTAAACCTTATTTATCATAATGGGATGGATAAAAACAGCTTTTAAAGACAAGCTAGCAAAACAAAGAAAAAAGGCTTGTCTTATATGCAATTTTTAGTTAAAGATTAACTAAAACTTCACAGTATTTTCCTTAGTCGTTTGTGATAAAGTTCAAAAAGGCTGACTACCTAAGGTTATGAAGGTTTTCAAAAAAGAATTGCGGCTTGTATTCACACTTCACATAAGAAAAACGATCAAAAGATCCAAAGAGACAGCCAGTTCGCCAAACTGGTCGAAACAGCAGCGTTTGGATGAGTTTCTCACTTGGCCATTGACAAGCAGAACTTACACAAAAATCTTATTTCTGATTCTTGTGCTCTCATTTAATTTGCATTGAAAAATCAAATTAAATCACGTATATTATAAGAGGTTAACACTCATGTAGGTAAATGAGCAATGTTATGAGCAGTACAGCAGACAGTTAATATTGTCAACAGACAGGTTCTCATTCTAATCGATTCAAACAATCATTGGTTATATATTCTCGTCCCTCCAATAGCCTTTTATGTCTAACTTCTACTTTATATAATTTTAAAGCTGGCGGGGAAGGGAGGAAGGATATTATGAAAAAGTAAAAGACTAAAAAATTAACAGTAAATCTGATGAAATTATGTTTTAAACCTTTCATCTTTTTAAAAGCAACCTGCATTACACAGTAGTCCTCTGTGATAAAGGTGCTCTCTATACTTTAATGTAGACTTTACACTGGGTGTTGAAGAAATAATATTTTCTAATGAAATCGAGAGAGAAGTGCAATAACATTTCCAAAATGCAGGTGTTGGTAGGAGTGAATGCACTGAGGCTTAATTCGAAGTTTAAAATGGAGATTCCATTAAACCTATGAAATTATTGCAGATCAAATGCTTACTTTTAATATAAAATTTAATAATATTAATAATAATAAATAATAAATGAAAGTTTCTAAATATTTTAAACGTAATTTTATTTATATACGTATGCATTCTTCCATAGAAATGTATCCATTTGTGTACCACATATTGCATTTTATACTTTTCTATTTTGTTTATTCATTGCTATTTATATAACTTGCCCATAACTATTTATATAACTCCTTACAGTGAGGTTGTCCATTACTATTTGTATAATTTATCCATTACTATTTATATAATTTATTGATTAAATTGCATAAAAATGGCTTTTGAAATCTACTGTTAAAGGCATACATGCATAATTTCTTTATTCCACACAAATACTGTTTTTCAATTCGGAAAGGCCTTACTTTTCAGTGTAACACAAATAGCATTATGAAACGAATTTAATTTTTGTATCTAGTCGAAC